AAAATATTTTTGAGATTAAAATGTATGACAATTCAATGTAAAATCATCTATAAAGCTAATACCCTCATATGTTCTTATGAAATACATTTGTAAGACTTTCGAGAATGGAAAAAGTATTTAGCTCAGGGAAATGGAAGTTTTGTTAGACAAAGAATAGTAAACACAGATTTATGCTTAAAACCATCTGAAAACTATTTTAAAATTCTGATTTGAACCTACACTTACCTTTTTGAATAATTTAAGTAGTATTTTTTGTAAACTATTTGAAGGTCTGGTAAAATACTGCTCTGAACCCATCTGGGCCTGGAATTTTTCAGTGGGGATAGCTTAACGACAAGGAAGTAAATATGAGTTACAAAATTTATATTTTGGGAGTGTCTTGTAGTTAGGATAATGGATACCAGAAAGGATTAATTTTTCGTATTCCACTGGAGCATATTTTATCAATGGAAGAGGCTTTTTAAAAATTCTAGGGTAATGGTGCTCATTCTATGAACTACAATTAATGGCTTAAATTTTCACTCTGCATCCCCACTTCTGCTAATGCATTTGCTTGCCTATGCTGATACAAACTGAGTAACCTCCATCTGACTTCCAAACTCAAATACAGAAGTCTATAGAAATCCATAGAAGAGAATACTGGTGCATTCCATCTGGTCTCAGCAGTGAAGCTTCTTTGTGCAACAGAGTGTGATGAGCACAGAAGGCCACAACTGTCTTACGTTTTAGAGAGTAGGAGACTGAATAGTGTGTTTCCTTGGATAGAACTCCTGTACTGAATCTCACCCACTCTTTGTTCAGGGACCACTGCAGAAGAGAGGGCATAAAGATTTCAAGAGCCAGGGTTGGTCCATGAACATGGGGAAACACAGGCATTCGGGCCACTGGAAGTTTGATCTTGTGAAACTCTGGCAATGGTGGCATGGAGTACAAGACCAAGCCAACTCATTCAGAGAGAGACACAGATTGGACTGAAGGAAATGGGAGGTGGACCGGCCCCGGTCTGAGAACTGTTAGCCACTAATTGCTGCTGGGTGAGGGAGAGTAGACTTTCCTCAAAATTACTAGGTGGGGAGAATAGAGAAGAAATAATAATTTAAGCCAGACCCATATTTTATGAACTTTTAAAATCTTGTGAGCTAAGATTTATTCAGAAAATTGAATAAGCAAAACATTTAAATATATTTAATGTGGCTTATGAACTGAGAGAAATATTACTGACATTTCAGTTTTTCATTGGATAATTTAATCTGTCTCCTTCTAGCTCTGTCTCTGCCTCTGTGTCTCTCTCAGACCTCATAATTTACTGTCCCATAGTGAATGGAATGCGTTAATATGGTGGGTTTGGCAGAACTGTCTTATACTTAAACAAGGAAGTACCCAAGTCCATCGAGTAATGAGGGACTTAAGAACATAAACTGTTTGAGAGATGAATAAGCATTTAGCGTTCACTGTGGCCTGAGTTCATTCGAGACTATGACTAGAAAGACAATTGATATTTGTGTCCTTCCTTGTATAAGAAAAAAAAAAAAGACAAAACCGATATTTTTGCAAAACCCCAGCAAGTTCTTCCAAGTGAATATCTTGAAACCAATACAAGTTAAACTTGGGGATGTATAAAGAAGGGATGAGATTTTTGTTCATAAACAAGAAGAACAAATAGAAATAGAGAGAGCATGAGTGAGGGTGAGATTCAGAAAGGACATGGATTCGGGGTGTATTTATACAGATGAGAATATTAATGGTTCTGTAAACTTCAAATAGTCTCCATTGTATCTAATCTACTTAAGCACAGTTCTGGAGGTTAGAATTATCTCTCAAGGAGTCAAATGAACTTCACACTCTCTGAAGGCTGGAAAGAGGAGAATTAGAATTCTCCTCTTTCCAGCCCTGAGATGCTCGCACATTCCATGCACCAAGGGCCTTTTCACTCATCTTCCACTTTTACTTCTCTTCCTTCATTTAATACTATGTTCAATGTAACTTGATCTCTTAATTACTATTGATTGTTTGATTACATTGGTGTCATGCAATTAATTCTTTTAATTCAGATACATCAAGCAGATAATTCCCAAAACAAATCCCTTACCCAGTCAAAGCTCCTGAGTTATTTTTTCTCATGTGAGGTAATATCATACAATTCAATGTTTAGAATATACATGCCTTCAGGCAGTAAGACATAGTTCATCCACCAATATCTTTTATTTCCCTCTATCCTTCTTACTCTTCTCCTGAAGGAGAATTAAAAACTCGAGGCTGATGTATAAGACAAGGAAGGTGTTAGAAATTTTAAACTCAGACCCTCTTCACTGTTGAGGTTAACAGCCTGTGTTTTCACCTGCCCTAGGTATAAGTAAGACCATATAGATTTCAGGAAAAATTACTTGTTCCTTGCTGGTGGCCAAAGGATATGGTGAATTGAGTTTCTTATAAATAGCTACTTGCTTAACTTCCAGTGTCAGGATATAGGTTTTTGATATTCTTCTAATTGGGATATGGGCTCCCTATTATGACACAAACCTAAACCTGCAATTAAGTACAAAAGGAAGCAGAGAAGGCTGAGTGTAGAAAACTCACTTGGCCATGGGGAACTAGTCCAGGCCTGAGAGATGAGATGACACTCGCAGAGTGTTGTTTAGTTTGCTTCTCTTTTATTTGGTTTTGTGAGACATGTTCTCTTTGTAGTCCAAGTTGGCCTGGAACCTATGATGTAGAACAGACTGGTGTTGCTCTCATACAGATCTGCCTATCTCTGCCTCCTGTGTGCTATACTTTACTTGCTGTGTAGGGCATTTACTACTGGAAAATAGACTCCCTGATTTTTTACCTTGTGAAAATCAATTTACAGTCCAAAGAAATTTTTAGAACATATATTTGTTTTGTTTTTTTTTTTGCCCATGGGCTATTTCAGTTATTAAGAGTGATATAAATGATGATTTATTTTTATTTGCTTAAAAAACAGACAATTTTTGTACTGCAAGAGAATTTGTTGAGAATACTCATTAGAAGAGCAAAGTGAGATTTCAAGGATCAACAGTCTCAGGATGCAAGCTATGTGGGAAAAAATTCCCAGAGCACTCTTAAAGTGGGAAGAACCATGGATATTTTTCAGGATGCCAAGGGGATCAAGAGTCCAAGAATTGATTTCTTTGTTCAGTGGATTACAGTGAGTGCTAGCTGTAAGTTTGGAGATCTGGGCTAGACAAACATGTGTTAGTTGTACCCCTCTCTGGTGAAATGGTCAAAATGAAGACAGAGTTGCCTGAGTATTGGCCATTTTGGGCCTAGAGGGAAAGGTACATACACAGTGATCATAATACCCATAGACACCAGTAAAAGGAATGCATAAGACTTGTTTAAAGTTCTGGGACTGTTTCAGAGGACATCTACTGTCCTTGATAGAAATGAACAGGAAACCATGTACAGGAAGTGATAAAAGTAACTTATTATCAATGGATCCTACAAAGATGTTTATCTTGGCCCACGAAGAAGAACATAATTTGGGCAGGTAAATCTATGTTTTTTTTTTCATTTATTTTTTTTTATTTTCATGCCTGGGGATACCTATGCTTATGCTCAGACTCTGGGGTGAGCTGAACAACTGCTGCAGCTGTGTACAGCCTTTTCTAGACCTTTATGATTTGCATGTGCCCAGTCAAAGCCCACTGCTCCAGGGAGTCTTAATAGGTTGGTCACACCCTGTGAAGTTGTCAAGCACAGTCAAGACACAACATCACAATGATGGGTCCTGCTCAGCTTCTTGGACTGTTGTTGTTCTGGTTTTCAAGTAAGGAGGTTCCTAAATTTCATTTTAAAGTCCAGGAACTGTTAGTGCTCTATGGATTTTCATAGAAGTCATTTGCAACATGATTAATACTGCATATTTTTTTTTATTTTCTCAAAACTCAGGTATTAGGTGTGATATACAAATGACTCAGTCTCCATCCTTGGTGTCTGCATCTGTGGGAGACAGTGTCACCATCAATTGCAAGGCCAGTCAGTATATTGGTAGTGGGTTGGCTTGGTATCACCAGAAACTAGGGAACGCTGCTAAACTCCTGATCTATGGTGCATCCTATCTGGAAACGGGCATCCCATCAAGGTTCAGTGGCAGCGGATGTGGTACAGATTTCACTCTCACCATCACCAGCCTGGAGCCTGAAGACATTGCCGCTTACTTCTGTCAACAAAGTTATGGTACCCCTCCCACAGTAATACAGTTAATAACATAAACCTCAAAGAGAAGCAGAAGTGTGAGGCTGTGTTTTCCCAGTTGCAGCTACTGGAGCGTGTGAGTGCTATGAGGCTTTTGCAGATAAACCTGCATTTGGACAATCACTAGAAGGATTTGTTAGTATGAGTCATGGAGGCTGCTCTGTATCCCGAATTTTGTTCTTCCTCTTCAGTGTAGTAAGCACAGAGGGACAATTCCCCTTCTGTTTCTTTAAAGGACTTGGATGTTTACGCACAAAGTAATTAGGTTTAACATAATTGAAACTCATACTCCTATTGCCATTTTTCTTGTTTACCCTGTAGAACTTGATTGTAAGTCTTTATTACTGAAGAAAATATATACTAGAGTTGTAGAACAAACATGGAGAATGCAAGAAGGTACTGACATTGACTTTCATTGTACAGGAAGATGCTCTTCATGCTACCACAAAATAAAAGTAATCATCAACCCTATTGATCTGTGAACACTATGAGAACAATAACAACTGATGAGGCAAGATAATCCCATGGGTTCAATAATGGTGCAAATGATATGAGAGTATTGAAACACTTTCTGATTGGATATTAACTCAACTTCAAAGGTGGAATTCATATCTGGCATTATTATTTGGGGCAGTAATCTGTGACTAGACAGGTCACAGATGATAAGGGAGAACTTACTGCTTACATTCTGCTGAGTAGGCAAATTACTAAATTGATTCTTAATGACTTATGGTGATACCCATTGATCATTATATCTCTCAGTTCTCATCAGAGAGGATTCTTAGTGTAGTAGGTGGAAATTAACACAGAAACACACAATTGATTTAGAATAGACACAATTTATTCTCTGGGCAGAGAATAAAAAACTGTGACTACAGAGTTCTTGGTTCTAAATGGGATACCTATATCACAACGACTCCTCTTGAAGATTAGATATTATCTGAGAATATTGTGAAAGCCAGAATAAGTGGATGAATGCAATGAAAGCTTATTTACTAGACATAACAAGAATGTTGAACATATGAAACCACAGAGCTTATGACAGCATTCAGATGACCTGTGCAAGTATCAGCCAGACTTATACCCAGCATGGAGGTAGAGATAGACAAGATGCTCCAACCCCAGCTAAGAAACTATGAGCAATTAATTAGCAGCTATCAATTCAAAAGTCAGTTATCATTAAGTATCTGACAAAGGGTATGTGGATTGGGCCCCAGGGGATGAAGCTTCACCTAAGAGTGTTTGAAGAGCAGGAGACTTGGGTATTGTAGAGAGAAAACAAAAGTTCTTGAGATTGATGGGCACAAGGGAAGAAATAACACACTGGTCTTCTTGTTCTAGGAGATCGCAAATCAACATCGAACTTCTGACAGGGCAGGAGGACAAGAATATTAATGAAGAAATGGAATCTCCGTATTGGCACAGTGGGGATAGTAAATTATAGGAATATATGGACAGTATTGTAGACTTGGCTTTAGTGAGATACAAGATCACGATGGGCAAGTGGATGTGGTTGGAGTTGATGATGATGATAATCACTTGCCTGATCCTAAGAGTCCAGATGACTGTGACAGTGATTCCTAGTCTGAAAAGGGAGAGTCTGCCAAAGAGCTACAAGCCACCATGGACTCTAATGAAGTGGAAGATCTGAAGAGCAAGAAGATGCAAAAAATCCAGAGGTTCATAACTCTCAAGTACTTGATCTTTGTATTAAAGGTAAGTCTTACTGTTGGGGCTGGAAAGATATCTCAGTGGTTAAGAGCACTTACTGCTCTCACAGAGGACCTGGGTTCGACTCCCAGCACCCATATGGCGGCTATGAACTGTCCTTAACTCCATTTCCAGGGGAAATCGATGCCCTCTTCTGACCTCTGCGGCATTGCACGACACAGGTGAACTCACATATATGCAGGCAATTTATTCATAGACATAAAATAAAAATAATGCACAGTGGAGGACTGTTTATAGGGAACCGATCTATATATTGTTATTTTTAAAAGTTCCTTTTAAGTAGCTACAAAAAGTATTTCCTTTCAAATGCCTTGGTTACACTTTTATGGGCATGACAGTAACCATTTTTGTAATGAGTAAAGAGTTGTATAAATAAGAAATAAACTCAGTGCTTGGCCTCCTTCATATTACCATTGGCAGCCCTTGACCATCGTTTATCCTTCAGGTACATTTTGGGAAGGGAGAAGATTTATTTTGTTTGTGGTAGCTCTTTCATCTTTTATCTTTTGGTTTCTTCCTAGTTTTCTCTTCTAAAATGAAATATATGACATGTTCGTGAGAAATGTTCCTTGATTATACTTCGTTAAAATAGGACCTTTCATCATGCCTATCAATATAAATTTGGTTGGCCAAAGAACAGAAACTTGCTTTACTAATGCAGCTCTTCTCTTCCAGCCCAAAGCAGCACATGAGCAAATACATTAACAACATTAATACTTCCAGGGATGGAGTTAAAACTGTCCTTTATTCAGAATGCTATGATGCCCAAAATGTTTTATATGATTTGATTATATTATCTGTTAAAATGTTGTAAAATTTGGCCAGTTTTCACAGAAGAAATTATTTCTCCATTCATTTAGTCCTGTATATTTAGAAGTATGTAAAACTGAATTTTTTTAAGGTACTGTATGACCAAAGTTCTTTTTTTTTCTTATGGGGTTCTAAATAAAGATAAAGCAGTTTCCCATATTTTGTTGTGAAAACTTTATCATTGTCTATAAATGACAAACAGGCTTGTTGAATAAAAAAATGGAAGGAAAGTTCCTTTTGCTCTGTTATCTTGATTATTTAATTACTAAAAGTAATTAAATACTTTGTAATTGTAGTGCTGCCTCTGTTGCAGTAAGGTTAGAGTCATCTGACTGCTACATGGTTAATTTGTAGAGTGGATTAACAGATGCATTATGGGTTAGTGGATGGATCCCTGAGGCTTTTCCCTGTCATTTCCAAATGGGTTATTGAGTTTTTCATTTCCTTCTTCATTTCTTCCTGAGTTTTCTTCAATATAATTATTTGTTTTTTAGACTCATCTTTGAACTTGTTAAGATTTTAAAACCAATTATTCAGAGATCCAGCCACTAAACCATAGTGAACTTGTTAATCCACTTTGAAGAATTGGTTTTAAAATCTTAACAAATTCAAAGATGAGTAAAAAAAAGAGATAATTTCCTTCTTCATTTCTTCCTGAGTTTTCTTCAATATAATTATTTGTTTTTTAGACTCATCTTTGAACTTGTTAAGATTTTAAAACCAATTATTCAGAGATCCATCCACTAATCCATAATGAATTTGTTAATCCACTTTGAACAATTGGTTTTAAAATCTTAACAAATTCAAAGATGAGTCAAAAAAAGAGATGGATATTGAAGAGAAGTTACTGAAGGCCAAAATGAAGAAATAAGTAAAAAACACAGTAAGCCAATCAGAAATGACAGTGGAAGGCCTCATCAATAGAATGAATGAAATAGGAAATAGAATACATAGACTGATGATAAAGTTGAATAATTGGATCACTGAAATTGTATGAGAAAATAAATAAATAACAGGAATGTAATATGCAGGAAATGTAGGAAACCATGAAAAGATCAAATTTATGCATCATAGGTATAGAGGAAAGAGAAGAATCTCAGGATACTGGTATTGACCAGATCTTCAACAGGACTGTAGAAAAAGCATTTTGCAACTAATTATATT